ACCGTCTGACCAAAAGTTACACGCGGAAAATGTCGTTTTTGATGTCGTCGTCGTTGTTGTTGCTGCTGCTGCTGTTGTTGTTGTTGGCACTGTTGCTGCGTTTCTTTGCCTTTATGCTTTGCGTATCGATGAATGTATGCGAGTCTGTGAGTGTTTGTGAACCTTCTTGTTATTTCTATTTGTTATGATATTTTTTATGCATTGCGTTTCCTAACGCGCCATAACTGTCATGTCCATTCATTGTTGCAACATAGTCACACACATACACACACTCGGTCGGTCGGTCGGTCGGTACACAAACAAAACATTGGCGAACTTCATATTCACACCACGCCATTGCAATTCGCTTAAAGGAACATCAAACATTTTGAATATGTGTGAGTGTGTGTGTGTGCATTTTTTGTGATTTGTTTTGTTGATGTTGTGCCGTTTGTCTTCTTGTGCTGTCAAAAAATGCTGCATTTTGCATTCGGACGTTTAGAAATGACGTTATTATCGCAAAAGACTTCAAACAATTTTTGACACCTTTTTTGCGGTGCAATGAATGAATGAATGACAGACGAACAGACAGACAGACAAACATATTTGGCATATCAGTTAATATGGTTTTCACCTGTCATGGATACGTTAGAGTGTAAAGACATTTATAGTCTTTTTGGAGAATATAACCTGATACTCCAAATAAGATCAGCAAACCAGAAAGAATTACAGTCGGAAGATGATATAATATCCTACATCATAATATTATATGGTGGTGTATAATGTTCAATTCGAGTCCCAATAAATTATATATTATTCAATAAAGTATAATTTAAAATCAATGTGTGTGTTCCCATACACAAACACTTGTAAAGGTGTTCGAATTTATAAAATAACAATTGAGAATAATTTCGATTAATCGCAGATTTCTCCACTGGCGTCTGCTCAATCGATCCAGAATTATCGATTTTAAATTATACACGAAAGGTGCAATGCCTTTTCAATTAAACTGTTGCTCATGCAATCAAATTAGATTGAAATCCTAACAGCGTCTCTTGTACACACCCAAATTGGAGTAGTGTATCATATAGGCGGTCCCGCATAACTTTAGTTCCAGCATTTCTTCTTTTGCTTTAAAATGTGTCTAAACGTGAAACTTTATTAATAATGAAAATAGTATAATATTATAATTTTTTTCTTCATTCCACCCTTTTATATATGTGGTGTGTTGTGGTAGTGAGTGGGTTCTGTTGAATTTTTAAAGGAAACAAAATAAATTTCATATCTTAGACGAATGTCAAAATCATGACATGTGAGCAACGTGATTTTTGTATGTGATGAAACATCAAAGTGAAACTGAATACCAACGAAAACAAAACAAAATCATAGCAAAGAATTAAGATGCAGTCAAAATTGCGATCAGAGACACAATTTAAAAATGTAAATATTTAAGTGTAACTCCCACATCTGATCAGCTATCAACTTCTCGGGTCTTTGTTCTTCATGGGTAAATATATACGCTATAGAATACAAATTTTGTAATTTTTCACACAAAATTCAGGGTTCATTTGACCCGCTAAATATCAAAACAGACATGCTAATTCTTTGTACCGACCCCTTCTCCATGTAAAAATTTGCGATGTTTGGGCCATAATTGCGACTTGTAGAGCGACCAGAAAAACCGACAAAAATTAAGTATTTGGTCCATTTCATCCCCTAAATATTAACCGACCTTTACCAAAAACAATAGGGGTCTTCCTTGGCCTGGACCGGTCTACATGCAACATTTCGTGAAGATTGGTCCATAACTGTGGCCTTTATCGTGTTTACAAAATATAATGGACAGACGGACGGATTTCTAGATCGACTCAGCTAGTCGAGATATGACAATCGGTATACTTAAAAGTGGATCTATGACCAATACTTCGCGGCGTTACAAACTCTTGGGACTGCACAAAGCTTTAATACCCTGACAACATACTTGTGTAGGGTATAAATAGCGTGAGCTGTGTCATCAATGGTTCCTAATGGACAGCATTGAAATAGGTATAAATCGATATATTTTTTAGGATGCACACTGAAATCGTGTTGAAGTAGAACTCTAAAATTTGGTATACAGCTTTGTCAATGATAAGCGAATCAGAATGAGTGAACAAGTTTTGGAAATTAGTACTAAAGGTGCTAAAATTTTACTACGATGAAACAGGCAGAGATAAACATCTGAAATTTGGTACGTAACTTAAGCTATTACAAATAGAATGATGGGAAAACGTATTTTTTGGAAATTAGTACTAAAATGTACAAAAAAATTATAGATGGTATATTGCAATATAACCGAATTTTACTATTACAAATATAATACTATGCAAAACATTTTGAAATTAGTACTAAAGTGGTGATAAAAAGTACTAAATAATAAAATACAATGGAACTGGTAGAAATAGAAATCTGAAACTCAGCATATTTTCTTAAATTAGTACTAAATACTGTAGTATAATGGAACCGGAAGGAATAGAAATCTGAAATTAATTATTACAAATACTTGCTATAGATTAACATATTTTTGAAATTAGTACTAAAAGGGTAAAAAATATTAAATTATACTAGAAAAGTTAGAGATTAAAATCTGTAGCTTAACTATTACAAATAGAGCGATATGAATAAATACCCTTCGAAAATTGTATTAAATATTGTATCACAATGAATGGTAAATAAATGTAAATGTAAATTTAGAGTACAAAAATGTCCAACTCTTAGTATTTGTTTAATTAGAAATTAGTACTAAACGGCACCAAAAACACAAAATATTGCACGGTGTGTAAAAAAGTGTATTTCTGAAATTCGGTATGTAGCTTTGTATATTTTAAAAAGTGGAATACGCCAAAAAGTTAGTAAATTGTACCTAACGGTACTAACAAGTACTAAATATTGTGTACTTATCTGGAACTATGCTAATAAATAAATATTTTGCAGAAAAAAGTTCTAAAATGTTCAATATGTTGTATACGGCGGTACGGGTGGATATAGAATTTGGTACAAGGTTTTTTCTATGAAAAACAATGCTACAGCGAATAATTATATGAATTTTGGTTTAAACTTCCGATGTAGTGAGCAAACAAGCCGCTGGACACAATAAGAACTAAATTATTGGCACTTTTAAATGCAAATGTTTCTACAATGTCTAACATAACGGAACTGATATTTATTTCCAATGATGTTTCCAACCACACTGGAAATATATTATACTGCAGCGACTTTCGATGTAATGAATAATGGGCGGAATATTTATGTGGAATATATACAAAAAATACCGACAATTTTTTCAATGAGGATTTTATAACACGTAACTCACCAGAAATACTAAATTTCTGCAATTTTTATATTACAAATTCGTACCATAAGGGTACATAAGTACTAAAATGTACTACATATTTTACCATAAGTATTATATTACCGAAAGGAACAAAGAAGTTTAAAAAATGTATTATGGTATTATTTGCATTGGTCTATCGGGAGGGTCGAGAAAGTAGTACACTTTCAGAAAATATAAATACAAGTTCATCATTATTCGAAATCTTACAAATGTATACGTAATCCGAAAGTATATTGCGTAGCTAAATTAAAGATCCGCTAACGACGTAGCGGGCCTATGCTAGTCTCCTAAATTTTTATTATCTTTCTCATATTTCGCGAAGATGTGCAACTTTATCGCTATTATTATAATATATTCATATTCTTATTTTACGGAGGAAGATCTATATAAACGTTTTTGGTCAATAAGATTTTTTTCTTATGCCCAAAATTAAAACCTCAATAACTTTTGCACGCACCAACCAAAAATTTGATCGCGAATGGATTCGGAGTCAAGACATTTTTCTATATATATGTACCAAAAATCATTGATGTAGTATGAAAACAAAAATTCTATTTTTTGAAAATGGAATGTAAACTAAAATTGGCGATATTGCCGGAAAATTTATTGCAGGCCCCAATACGGATTGCCAAAATTCCCGAATTTTGAACGTTTTTATACCCTTACCACACTGTGGTACAGGGTATAATGTCTCTGTGCATATGTTTGTAACAGGCAAAAGGAAACGAGATTGACACATGATTCCTTTTGAGAATATGCATAGAATCACTTTCTGAGTCGATTTACGCATGTCCGGCTCTCCGTCCGTCCATGTATTTTTGTGAACAAAGTACTGGTCGCATTTATGATCCGATTTGGATGAAATTTGGCATAGGTCACTTATTTTCCCCAAGGACGAACCCTATTGAAATTGGTGCACCAAAGTTCCTATATATCTTTGGATTTCCACGAAATTCCACGAATAATGAATTAGGTCTAGAATGATGTGTGTTAAGTTTCCTGAATATCGGTTCATATTTAGATATAGCTACCATATATATTTTCGTCCGATTTTAGGTAAATTATGTACCAAAGTTCCTAAATATCTTTCGGTTTCCACGAAATTTGGCACAAAGTAATGAATTAGGTCTACACTGAAAGAAAAAAATTCATCAATATGATGATTTTGGGCATTACTTTGATGAAATGTTTCTTCGATTTTGAGCTTACAACGCGTTTCATCATTATAATGAAGAATTTTACATCAAATTTTCATCAAAAATATTTATCAATTTAATGAAATAATGTCATCATATTGAAGAAAAAGTTCATTTAATTGATGTATTATTTCTTCCTTTCGATGAAAAAATATACTCAAATTGATGTTCTATTATCTCTATATAATGAATATTCTGCATCATTCCAATAAAAGGTATTCATCAAACATACGTAATTTATTCATTAAAATTACATAACTTCAATGAATAAACTGCATCAAACTAATGTATAATTTACATTTAATCAATGAAGCCCTAACATCGAACTGAATTTTGTTTTCCGCTTTAGAAACGCCGTTCTAAATTTTACAAAATTCAATATAAATACAAATATTTTAGGCATTTAGGAAATATTTTTTATTAAAAAACTTAAAAAATAATTCATTACGGGTTTTACAATGAATATAGATTTCAATATTTCCTTAGAATAATGAATTAATAAATAAATGTGATAAAATTTAAAAATGTACATAAGCGTTTGAATTATATTCAAATACAAAATTAAATATTAAATGTAGATAATTTATATATAAATCAGTTCTCGGTATAATTTAAATCGCTTAAAATATTTAGTATTTTTGAAAAATTTTTTGTGTGAGCTGATTTCATGTCATAGAAGTACTCTTGAACAAAGATCCAGAACTGATTGGATGCTCCGGGAAATTCTAAATTAAATAAGAAAAAGCTTTTGAAGCAAGTATCTAGTGCTCGCTGGAAATCTACAAAATGTAGCAATGCATGGTCTAAATAAACATAGAAATTGTAGTCATTATCTTCTAAATTGTCATCTCCAACAACAAAAATAAAAGGTTGAATATTCTCATTTCTCTTTTCTAAGAAATTTAAGTGGTTGTCTACTTCTTGGATACTTCGTGCGAGGAATATTGACGATTCTTGGGAGTCTTTTATGGTGTATTTCCCATACGTTTTCTTTCCATCTTTATCTTTACGGAGGTATTTTGATGTTGGATATAAGTAGCCGTGTAGACACCAAGTCAAGCGCATCATAAATAAAGACATGTTTGAAGCTACAAAATTAAATAAAAATATTAGTTATTTAATGATATGCATCTAATGAAAATTGATTCGTAACAAACCTGCGTCTGATGGATCAATTCTATCGAAAACTGATTTAATTCCAGCATCTTTAATGTATTTTTCCTTCTTAATCACATTATACACCGTAATAAGTTTAGTTTCCCATTCGAATATTGGTGTGTAGTCTTTATGCAGCACTCCGAAGTCCATGTTAATCTAAACGGAATATCAACACACACATGTAGAAAGAATATTAAATTAAGATGGACATATAAATTAAGATACTTACCAACTTTACTCCAAGACCCTCTTTATACTGTGGCCAGGTTTTAAATATATCCTTAAGGTTATCGTGCTCATCAAAAATTTGACGTATTCGGTAATTTGCGCATGACTGCCACATTTTTAAAAATTGTTCTTGGTCGACATTATCGTATTTTAAACTATGAATTATTTCTTTGGCGTTTTCTTCAGAAACTATAATAAAAACCCAAATTTACTACATTTGTATAAATCATAACGTTTTTTTCGAATAATTTACCGATATAATCTGCAGGTTTGGATGCCTTAGGTGAATTGACATCTCTATCTTTCTGATAAATGTGATTTCTTTTCATATTGTTGTATTTTACATATAGCTTTCCACGTCTGTCGGTGCGGTAAGAATGGAGTTTCTCATTGGGAAACATTTCTATTATTTGTTTTTCCAAATTATAGCTTTCTTGTAAAGACATGTGCAACTCATTTGCATGAAAATAACTAGCTATTGTTGTAATTATTAAATTTCGTTGATCTTCATTTATATGTTCGTATTTTTTATAGGTCTCTAAAATTCTTTTGCCAATTTTATTTTGGTTCAAAATTGTCGTCAGTTTTACACAGGTATTGGAGTCAAAGCGTTCTTTCAGAGGTTCTTGAGATAAAGTAATAGAAGAACAGCTAGATTTCCGTGAGATAGACGAAATATTGGCCACGTCTGAGTAATATTCGTTTTCAATAGGTTTTCCGATTTCTTCTCTCCATTTATTAATATTAAACTCAAAAACTATTTTGTCTCCTAATTTAAATCTTCGTGTGAGTTCCTCTAAATGTTTTCTGTTAATTATTTGTAAGACATCAATCGTTATATTTTCATCTGGAAAATACATTAAATAAATAAGCTTTAATTTTAAGTTATATTATATATTACCTTTTAAGTTGGAAAGTAAATGTAGTAAGTTCCATTTTTTGAGTAGAATTTCTAATTGATGTTCAATAGCTGCCATTTTTATATATATTAATATAACTCTTTTATTCTTATCTTATATTTTCCTGTATGGGTTTTTATGGCTGTTGTTGGATGTCCAATAAGATTTTTGATATTGACCGCAAAGGCTCCCTCTACTTTGTTGACGTGTATCTCAAAAGCTCTATAATGGCTACAATAAACAACGTCTTTAAATCGTTCACCAAATATATAAATATGGTTATCCAAACAAAATACATTTATAATTCTATAAATATTATAGTCAATTTCGCATTCAGCAACGAAAAGATCCTTTTTGTATACAATGTTTTGTAATATAACCTTATTATAAAAATATAACTGTCTTTTAGGTATTTTAAGTTGAGCACATATATCATCATTTAATTCACACACGGTTAAATCTTTTTGTAAAACAACAAGATTATTGCTTGTAGACGAGTTTAGCAAAAAGTGAAAAACATATGTTTTTTTCGTGAAGTTATAGCATGTGTGTACAACTTAAAACTGCGGTGTTTAGACTCAAATTGGAAACTCCAGAATTTCCGCACAGGTCCGCATTTTCTTATTATTTCCGGATAGTGAACTAACAAATGATATTTTGGTTTCAAATTAGTTTTAAAAAGCCTAATGAAATCTTTATTATGTTTTTCAATTAGATTTTCTAAAGAACTTATAGAAAACTCCGTAACCGAAAATTTGAGAATTTTTTCTACAATTTGTATAAGTGTTAAAATAAATATCCACACCTCATCATCGTCTGGAATCATATCACCAACAATTAATGGAAAATATAATAAAAACGTCATCATTTCCTTTGCTGACATTTTTAAATGGCGATTTTTGAGATGAGTTATAGTAATTTTGGGCGAAATATTTCCTATTTCAAGTTCCCCGTAATCGAACTTTTGTTTTCGAGCATTAAGGGTTTTCAAAGAGAAATATTTCTTGGTATTTGTGAAATAAAGTATGGCAAAAGACAAATCATAATGACAAATTCCTTCGAAAACGTCGTGCATTGCATCTACGCTCAAGTTGTCAACAACATGGAAAGACGGAATTTTGTTAAATACACATTCGCTTACGATGCCAGTCTTAGATGGATCCCCGGTATTTACGTCAAGCCTATAATTTGCATATGTCCTCTTAAGACTTGGAATAGCGGACGTTGTTACGTTACTCATATTTTTGTCAATTCTGCATAATCGGCAAAATGTACCACTAAATGATTTTCTGTAGCCTAATATGGTGTTAAGACCTAAATTATCACCAATAATTAAACAAGGCAAAAAGTGAGGATTATACACTTTACCGTTGTTTAAATCGATTTCAATGCCTGCCACTTCTAGATCTATTAACTGGTTAACAAGTGGTAACAAACACTTGTCGATTCCATGTACTTGCAAGTCACTACTTTTAATTGATGCCGCTAAAAATATATGGTCCAATTTGGTATCTTCATTTGGTAAAACAGGAAAAGAGAAGTAAAAGTTTGTTACGGTATGAGTTGTGGAATGTGCACCCAAAGGATTGTTTAATTCTATATCGTCGGAATATAGAAAGTAAGGAATTTGGTTGGTTGGGATACATAGCGGCCTTCTTTTTCCACATATCTCCTTGCACGATGTTGGTAAATTGCGAAGATTTGTTTAAAGATTCCATATGATCAATCATTTTTAACAATAAGTTATCTTTTTGAAGAATTTTTTTGAAAGAATGTCTTAGGGAAAGCGTTGCCATTGTGGTCTCTTTTTCAGCGAAAGTTAAATTGCCTTTTTTGTGAATGAGCTCGCCGCTTTTGTCAATGACAGAAATGTTTAAATCTTCACACAAATCTCTTTTTTTAAGTTCTTTAGTTAATAAGTACTCAGATTTTATTGAATTCAAAACTTCATTGCAACAACGAATAGTTTTAAATAATTCCTGCTTTGAATCCAAATCTAATTTGCCAGCAAATTTTTTGAAAACGTCTAGAAGTGGTAAAATTACAAGATTGTATTGAGAAGTCTGAATATTTTCAGCGTCCTTTCGACTTAAGTTATTTATGGAATACAAACCAGTCTGAAACTTTAAATTATTTTCAAAAAGATTTTCTATTACTGGTACTTCATCGAATGTTCCAGAATCAGAAGTCTCTTCACAGTGGCTCTCGATGCATACCTTTTTTCGTGGAGCCGCAATGTTTTTCCACAAATATTTCTCTGTGAACTTTTGTAAGATGCCTTTTAAAGGAACTTTTAGTTGTGAATGCGCTGTTACATATCGTACACCTGAATGTATCACTATTTTGGAAACCATGAAATGTTTGCAAATGCCACAAATATTTTTCTATATTACTAAAATTTTTAGAACATATAAAACACTCCATTTTAACTTACAACACTTCTATTAGCTCCAATGCACAAAAATATTACAAACACTTTTATCAACGTCTGATCACAATAAATGTCACTTTACAAATGAATTTTTCTTATTATTCAAGCACTGTTTCGCACGCTGCAGACATAACGGGATTTTCTCAATTGGCATGCCAGAGATGTGACTTTGCATTTTATGCTAGAGTTTCTTTCGTTTATCTGAAAACTACCAAAAATAGTTTTAATACAGCAATAAAATGTTATTGAAGTTTAACCCCGCAAACGGTAGAAAAATTAATAAACTAAAGGATGATATAAAAGACATGTAATAAATTAAAAATCTTAAAACCAATTCTTATTCAAGATTATGTTGTTTAAAGGTAATAACTCCCATGCCTGAATAAGTATACTACAAAAGCAATGTTTTTGTGTGTGCGTGTTTTCGAAATAAACGCACAAACATCAGGGGGTGGAAAAATTAAAACTAAAAACATTTAATGATAGCTTTCTTCAATTTGATAACTAATTTCATTATGATGATTATGACATGATGACCACAAATTGATGAAAGTTTCTTCATTTACTTGATGACGGTGTTTTTCAGCCGAAAACATAAAACATCAAATTGAGCACCGATTTCATAAAAACAATGTTTTTTCTACAACAATTTGATGAAGATTTTTTGATAATTTTTTTTCATTACCTTGATGATGAACTTTTCTTTCAGTGTAGAATTATGTGTGTTAGGTTTCCTGAAAATCGGTTCAGATTTAGATATAGCTCCCACATATAGTTTCGTCGATTTAAGGTAAATGGTGTACCAAAGACCCTTAATATCTTACGGTTTCATGAAATTTGGCACAGCGTAATGAATTAGGTCTAGAATGATTTGTGTTATTTTCCTGAAATCGGTTCAGATTTAGATATAGCTTCTATATCTGACCAAATGAAAAATTTAGTATCGTATCATTTCAGTAGTCCTTTAAAAATGCGACGTCTGTTAGAATTCGTCGGCCACGACGGCAAAAATAAAAATTGTTTTCTCCCCAAAATATTGTGAAATAGAGTGAAACAATTCAGTTGTGAAATGCATTCCACATTACCGGGTGATTCTATTAGCGAAATAATCCCCATTGACTTGACTTTAGAATTGCCTTTGAATTGTTCCTTCTATATTGGCGATTGGCGATTGGCGCCAAAACAAGCAATTATCTCTCAATTTATCATCATAATTGGGAATTGATAATATGATATATTGCGAGTATGTACCTACGGAAATGCAAACACAAATTAATAAGTTCCTCCCGCCAACCTTCTTGTAGGAAAATGAAACAAAAACATGAATGAAAAAAAAATAACATTAACATTTATAGTATTAACAAACATAACAACAAATTGTTATAATCAACCATTAAGATGTCAGACTTTATGTACGCGAACACACAACCGTACACTTGTACTTCGATGAATTTACGCGAAGACTTATTGTACAATGAACAACAGCAAAAACAACAACACCAACTATTTTTGCATGAACTGCAATTACCGTTAAAAATTATAAGCAACAAGAAGTGAAAATTTATACCAAGCCAACATTCCTACATACCTTTGTATAAATGTACGCTAATAAAATACAGCAATAATAACAAAAAAGATGCAAAAAAAGCAACAACAACATGAAATGTTTAAATAAGCACTGAAAAAATATGTTTTTTGTTTCTATTTTACGAATGTGAATAGTATTCCCGAGTGAGTTTGTGTGAATTTGCGTAGACCATTAAGGAAAGAAATAACATTTCACACTGCATTACCAGCACAGCAACAGCAACAACAACTATAACAAAAAAAATACAAACAACTTTACCAGCGTCAACACATTTGGATTGTGTACATTGCGTTCTGAATGGATTATGATGGGCTGCTTTGGTACTGAGGTTAGTGTGCTGTTGGTGGCAGCGGCGGTGTTGGTCATAAAGCAACTGCAACGTTTTGTACATACTACACCCGCAATTCTACAGCCACGCGGCGAAAGTCAACAAACAACGACGACGACAACAACAACGTTGTCGACGGCGTAAACAACCATCAACTCATGCAGTAGTTTAGCATTTCATTCATATTTATTTTTATGCGTTTTTCTGTTTCGTAAATATAAGAACATACACTTGTACGGTTGGTCGTGTGTTTGGTGTGTATGTGTAATAATTACCCAACACCGTGGTTTGCTTTTCATGTTTATAACAATCTTCACTAGGTGGATGTGAATTATCATTCCGTTTGCAACACCTGAAATTGGAAATATTTTTGATTGGAGTAAAATTCTGTGTTGACTTATCCCTGTCTGTCTGTCCAAATATGTAAGATGGGCCCTTTAATTTTGCAGATACTTTGTCTTGAATTCTGCTCAAATCTTGTATATCCCGAAGGTTTTGGATATATGCAAATAGGAGTGATAGAATTTTGAAAGTTGTATACACACTTTGCGAAATTTACGCCGTTCTTTATCAATTTTTCATCATGCGTTGTCACTTTGGTTTTGACAACGCTTGTTGTCAATTTCTCAACAGCCGTTTACAATTCTAAGTATTTGACCACAATACGTTGTTATGTTTGAGAATGGGACAAAGGGCGTTGTCAAATTTGGGAATATGACAACGAACGTAGTCTGCAACAACACGTGGCAATTGAATGCTTTTTATACCCTCCACAATAGTATGGAGGGTATATTAATTTTGTCATTCCGTTTGTAACTTACCGAAATATTCATTTCCGACCCCATGAAGTATATATATTCTTGATCAGGGTAAAATTCTAAAACGATCTAGCCATGTCCGTCCGTCTGTTGTAATCACGCTATCTTCCGAAGGAATTGAGATAGGGGCCAGAAATTTTGCATAAGGTTGTCTTTTGTCTGCACGCAGGTCAAGTTCGAAAATGGGATATATCGGTCCACGTTTAGGCATAGCTCCCATATAAGGTACCCCCCAATTTTCGGTATTTTGGGGTTCTTGAGCGCGTTTTTCAACCGAATTCTATGAAATTTTGTACATTGGGTTCCTATTGGGTACTAAATGTCTCCACAAAAAATTATAAATATATGTCTACTTATTCTGGTAGCTCCCATATAACGGTACCTCCAAATTTTCAGTATTTTGGGGGTTTCGGTCGTATTTTTCCACTGAATTGGCTGTAATTTAGTACTTTGAGTTCTTAATAGGTTCCAAATCACTCCACAAACAATTATGAATATAGGTCCATTTTTTCTGGTAGCCCCCATATAAGGGTACCCACAATTTTCGGTATTTCGGGGTTCTTGAGCGCGTTTTCCAACCGAATTCGCTGACATTTGCTACATTGGGTTCTTATTGGGTACGAAATATATCCACTAAAAATTATAAATATAAGTCAATTGTTTTTGGTAGCTCCCATATAAGTGCACCCCAAATTTCGGTATTTTAGGGTTCTTGAGCGCTTTTTTCAACCGCTTCGCTGAAATTTGGTATATTGGGTTCTTATTGGGTACCAAATATCTTCACCAAAGTTATAAGTTATAGTCCATTTTTTCTGGTAGCCCCATATAAAGGTACCCCCAAATTTCGGCATTTTGGGGTTCTTGAGCGCGTATAGTCCATTTCCATGTCGGTATAGCTCCATTTTTTGGTATGTTCCTTATATTATCATTTCAAGAACCTGCCAGTATATCTATGGTGGAGGGTATCCAAAGTTCGGCCCGGCCGAACAAAACGCTTTTTCACTTTTTATTCATTCTTATCGTGTTTCTGAATGTGAATAGACGCATTGTGTAAAAAACAATTAAAAAACAATAAAAAATATTCTGAAAATTGATCTTCAAGATCAAAATGAAATAATGGGCTAGTTTGTGGAAATCGACGGTGATCAGTAAGACATGCATTTCGTTTATAAATACTTGAAAGGTACGTAAATCAGATCTACTACGACTTCAAATATAAATTAGATTTACTACCGGCACAGATTTAGATTTACTAGCGGCACAGGTAACATTTCGGAGTTTACAATATATTAAAAAAGAAGATTTAAAGAGGCAATACCACCAATAAGAATGCGTGTGGAGTTCAGGGAAAACTCTTTGCTTGACAAAACAGAGGTGTTGTACTTTATAAATATATTGCTATATTTATAGCTTGGAATCGACTATGAAATAATGTCTGTGCCGTCTAAAATGTATAAATGGTAGAAACGAAATGAGGCAACTCACAGCACATCTAGTTTAAATTGTTCCAAGGTCGAAGGGATTCTCTAAAAGGTACAAGGTGGGATCGTAGAATCAAAAAATTTTTAACTTTTACTTATTTCTTTTAATAAAATATGTTTCAAATAAATAAAAAAATATTTGTTTTTATTGACATTACTCTTAGAACAAAATGAGAATGACCATTCGACACCGCTATAGATTTTATCTTAGTAGTACTGCTAAAATAAAAATTCATAATCACATACATCGCACCACAGTGCAGTGAGTAGGGTACCACAAACGATAACTCCACAGCTAAATTTACGTATTCATGCTTATGTTGAATCGTAATCTCACAAGTGCTAAATTTGAAATACACCCAATGCGACAAACATAACTTTTAATATTTCTTTGCTGGTATTCCTTATCTTCACTTTGGCCGGTCCCCTGGCCCAATGCTAAAAAAAGGAAAAACAAAAAATATTGGACTGGGATGGATGGGATGGATGGGTTGGCTGGTCGTTTTACTCGTCATTCCTGGCGCTAAACTCTCATGCGAGAAAAATTAACCGTCATAAAGAAAATCTAAATCAACCCTTATCGCTCCCCTGACAGAATGTATCACTCAAATTTGCCACGTTGCTGCTGCTTTGGCGTGCTGTTGCCTCAGCTACAACCGTTTGCTATTGTTTATGTTTGGGTTTGTTTCGCATTCGCATACATTTAACATTTATTTTTGCTACGTAAGGGCAAAATAAAATGTAAGTAAAGTACCTGCAAGGAGAGCAAATAAATGGAGAGAGACAGAGGGATACATTCTGGTTAATAAAAAATTCTTTATATTTTATGGACCATAATATATGCCGGCTTTTCTGCTGTCGTTGTTTGTGAGAGGGTGTATTTGAACCGGGAAACGAAA